GGGGGGGGGGGGGGGGGGGGGGGGGGGGGGGGGGGGGGCGAACCGGGATCATATATCTGCACTTAGTTGCGGAATTCAGCCCACGAGAGAAGGGGATCTCAATATATCCCAATGTGACATGCAAGAAGTACCGCAAAACAACAGCTATACCCCTTCTACAGAAACGCACCGTGTAACAAGGTCCAGCTGCATCCAAAGGACACTTACAAACCTTATAAGGACTCAAGAACAAAGTGCTCCCAAATGTTAACCCGAGAACACCTTTTCCAACCTTGCCTGACCAGCGCCTCTAACTCCTCTTCATCGGACTCGGGACTCACCTGGCACCCCCACCGGCTTGGTTCAACGGGGAAAATTACGGTGCAGGATTTACATGGCTTGGGATCCAGGTTGTATAAGTGGTGTGTTGGAACTGCAGCATCATACATCTGTTGTTCCAGGTTTCGATACCACCAAAGCAGGAGTAGTCTCAAACACACACGGTTCTAATCACTATTGAACTGATGTGTCGTCTCTACATCTCTTGGGTCGAAAAGGGTTGACCACGCAAAGAGTGACCGAGCTGCTGAAGATATGCTTTCTTGCGGCGGGAGCCGACGCATCTAAGCCTTCGCATAAGCTGTGCCCTTTATGATGTTTCAGGCACTGTATACATATAAGCAATTCTGGAATCGAGTGTCATACGCGTCAGCCTCCGCTGCTCTCAATACCATGATCAAAATGAGGCTTCAATGCCCTCTAGCCATCGATCAACAAGCACAGCATCATCGACATGAGCCGCCGGTGCCCTCCAGGCATCGAGGAGCACGGAGCGAGCATCATCAGCATCAGTCGCGGTTGATCTCGGAGCATCGACACCCAAAGCACGAGTGTCTCGCAACCGGACATTTCCTCCAGGCATCGACGTACAAAGTGGGGTGCAGTAGCAGCCGTTGTGAGCAGCAAGCTGAGGGATTAAGCGGCCATCAAAGCAACGGCTTTGTGCCGCTTTGTATGCATGTGTGTACGTGTGTGGGTGGGTGGG